ATTTCTGTTGAGCTACCTTTAGGGAACAATCACTTCATTCATGAGGGATATGAGGGTCTCCTTTGCTGCTGCTGTGTTTGCTACCCTAAGCTAGCAAAGCTAGCATTAGCAACCTGCTAAAAGCTCTGTGTTGAACAATGTAAGCTTAGATTCAAACCTAAAGGTTGTTAACGTGTTAAAGTGTTGGTTTGGTGGCCATTGTTAGCTTCTTTGAACTTCTACAGTGCAACATGAAGTTTAACCGCTGTAGGTAACAGATCTGCTCGGGGGCCCCGCCCCTTCTTGTGACATCAATATATGGCAACTCCACTCGGACAAACTGTGTAGCACCCGTTTCTTAAGGATCTCAACATATTACCTATATTTGCTATTATTTTAGTAGTAGTTGAAAGTAGAAAACAATCATTGTCAGTTTGGAAGAAAGTCCTGCCTTCTAAGACAGACTGAGCTCTGCTATTCAACACGGAGACAAAAAAAGTCTCCATTTATTTTTATTTTTTTATTAAGATCTCAGGTCAGAGGAGGAAAAGTGGGACATCTTAAAAATGACTTTCATAGAGATTTTAGACAAATATAACAGTTATTCTACTTGTAGAAACATAGTGTAGCTTAGTCTGGCTAACTGAGCGAGCTAAAAGAGGCTAACCTGTTAGCTACTGAGCACAGTTAGCCACAGCGCTACCCAGCTCTTTATATCACGGTCTAACAGTTACTTTGTTCACCAGAAACAGATTTGTTCAGTTTCGTTATCGATCAGGTAAAACTTAAACAATCATTAGACACGCTAACGCTACGGATGCTCCCGACTTGGCACATGGACGCTGTATTGTTGTTGTTGTCAGGGCAACCACAGTGTTGCCAACTCCTCAGTAAGGAAAGCAGCTATTGGCTGTGCTAGAAGTCGCTGAATGACATCATTGCCTAATTAGCATAATCTGCCACATGATGGGATGTGCACGTTATTGACGCCGTGGGAGAAATAACGTAGATAGAGACAAAGTGAGTAAAAACACTCAGAATATATAGAGCTACTTTTTCTGTTCATTAATGTTTGTTTATTTTTTTTATCTAATTTATTTATTTTTCCCCTTGTGGTCCAAAAGGAGCCTACAAAGCATGGTAGAACATGAACATTTTGAACCATACCTTTTTTTTATATTACATTAACATTAATAATCTCAATAGAACAAAAAAGACTGTGTGACAATGTGAGCAAATAATGGTCATTAATATTATTATTTTTATTAAACTAATAAGATTTACCTCCACACTCAGGCTGTGTTTTCCTGCTCACAGAGAGAGTGGGTCATCATCATGTTGGTCGAGCCTCTCTATTTTTATATATTTTTTTTTATTAAGTCATAGACATTTACTTAAAAAAATACTCTCAGAGAGAACATCAAAGGTTTACAAGAACAGATAAAGATTAATTACAATAAAAGAAAAAACAGAAAANTAAAGATTAATTACAATAAAAGAAAAAACAGAAAACAAAAAAAGAAAAAACAGAAAAGTAAAACAACTATCAGCAAACATTTAAACCAAACATTGACAGTATCATAGAAATAATAGAAACAAAAAGGTGAATGCACTTAGAATAGCAGATGTTGGGAGGAATCAAGCTACATTTTTTGGCATATTTGTCATTTTTTATCTTTTTAAGAGAAGAAAAATGTGTTTTAATGTCATTAATAAAGCAATGAAAGGAAGGTTTAGAGTTTCTCCATTTAGCACAGTGGATATGATATTTACCCAACAGTAGGAGGACATTAATAGTATCAGAAACAGGCTGGAGAAGATGGTCCATTTAAACAATGAGATCATTTACTGCAAATGGGGGGACATTTTTCATTTTTAAAGAAATACAATCTTTCACGTCGTTCCAGAAGTTGTGTGTAGTGGGACAGAGGGAAAACATGTTCAACGGTTTCATCAAGGCTCTCTAAGGCAGGTTGAGCCTCTGAGGGAGCTGACTCCAGCCTGATCGACCTGCGCCGTCAATCCAGTCTGGATGCTGAGGGTAAACCTGCTGTGGCTCTGACTCAGAGAGGGACTCCTGCAGAAGCAGGAGAACGGGGTTGGGACGAGGGAGGCGCCCTACGGCAGCACCTGCCGCTGGAGGACAAGAGTAGGAACGATACGTGCTTTCACCTAAGAGTCTCCAAAAGCCGCCAGTGACACCAGAAAAGTTGCTAGATTTGTCCATAGTCGCTTTTTTGAAAAAGATTCGCTGGAGGGATCTGAAAAATCGCTAAACATAGTCACTGAGTTGGCAACACTGGCCAACCACTGTGTTTTACATCGTGGCAATGTTCAGCCAATCATGTAGCGTAACGTCACTGGCAGGAAGCCGGACCCGAGCAGATCTGGTAGCTACAGCGTGTCAACGAGTCTGAGCTCCATCAATAAGGACAGAACATCTAAAAATGATGTAGGAACCCGTTGAGAGTGCGGATGGATNAGCAGCCATTTTGGCTCTGGGATGGTCACTCTGACTCAGTCTGCTCCTTCTGAGCGGTTCTGCTCAGGGATTTATCTCCTCTGGTTCTGCTAAAGCCCAATAGCCCAGGTGAGAATGCTCTAGAAGCTGAGTCTGAATCCAGTCCAGACGCTGCGCCGTTCTGCTAACTTTAGCAGCTCAGGGAGGTTAATGAAAGGACGGTAAATGGATTTATTCAGCGGATCATCCAGGTTACAGGAGGATTTCAAGGATGGATGAACATTTTCATGGTTCACCGTCCCTACCAAC